GTACATGCTTCAAGTCCTTACAAAACTAGAAGAATCACTGACAATTCACCTTTGTCAGATTGGAAAGCTGAGGCTTAATATCATATAGCTCATGGTGCTACTGTACTAAGCCCTGCATTTCTTCATTTTTGTACATTGCTATCTTCTCTATCCCCACATTATCATACTCTAAAGATGTCAAATGTCATAAAACTCAAAGATCTCCAATAAAAAGAAGCAATTTTAAGTATTGTAAAGATGGAATATTAAAGTATTTCTTATAAGCTAGTGATAACTTTGAAGTGTTTACATAGAACCAGACATGGTCACACAGTATATGGAAAGCATACCACCCTTCATATGGCTGCAGCAGCTACTCCTGCTACTCCTCTGGTCACTCTGGTGAGTACCACAGGTACAAAAAAATTCCTAAATAATAAATGTTTAAAATAAATTCATTTTTTAAAATCCTGAAGTCAGCTGGCATTGGGTAGTGAAAGAAACTGAAACCATATTTGTGGAGCTTCCACTTGCAATCAGCCTTTCAATGGGGTGTGAGGTACAAAACCCAGTATGTGGGTTAGAAGAAGGCTAGCAGGATCTGTATCTTAGCAGATGGAGTAGATATTCATAGCAATAGTTGTGTTGGTAGATTATTGAGGAGACAGACTGGGACTAAGCCCTAGCCTTCTCAGAGATGATTTTATTTCTCCTTGGAAGTAGTATTGGTCTTGAGCCACAGAGGAAAAGATAGCAGGAATCTAACAGCTCCAAGGGAGTAATCAATTTACAAATCTGTGAAGTGCAGATTCCTCTGCAAGAAACAAATTACAGAATTTACAAATGTGTAAATACTGCTTGGTATTACAAATGTGTAAAAAAAAATGCTTGGGGTAGTAGTGGGAGAGAGAAAAGAGAGGAGTGGGAGATAGATGATAGATAGATAGATAGATAGATAGATAGATAGATAGATAGATAGCCAGGAACATAATTCTAAATAGGTGATTTTTGATACTGAATCCTTACTTAGCAACCACATAGGAGATGATAGCTAGGTCAATGGAATAAGAGTCTCTAGAGAAGTCCAAAATTCACCTCATGTCATTAACTAGGTACCTTCTTTCAAAAGAACTGAACATATTTTCCCTCAGCACACCCTACATGCTTAATTTATGTCAAGAACATTAATTTTTTAAAAGTAGCCCCAAGCAATAATCATATGCAAAGCCAAATAAGGAATCATGACAGACTTGGACCCAATCTTCCTACTCCACAGCGTTAATTTTTATGGGCAATTTTTTTCACAAATGTTTACTGAAATCCTTTTATAAGATCTCATCACTGTTATTAAAGTTTAGAAAGACCTGCCCTGAAAGAATGTTTGAAAGTAAGAATGCAAACTCACTGGTCTCCAGGATGTTCTGAGCACTTAGCTGGAGCACAGTAAGACTTTTAGGGGTGTGTGGAGCTCCACCTGTGCCCTCCAGGGGTTCGGAGTCTGATGAGAAAGCATTTTTATCATTACTCCAGCAGAGAGCTTGATGGTGGAGCAGAGGCCTAGAGAAATGCCATGATGCTTGGACAAGCATTTGAGTTCAGTACAAAATGGATCAACAGAAGAAAGGCAATGACTCAGCAGAAGAGGGAGGGCACTTGAGGTGGGTGGAATATTAATGGGCTGACACTAGAGATGACAGAGCAGATCTGTGTATTCAAATTTTCAAATCTTTCCACAGAATATGCTCAGCAAGTGAGCAGTAAGATGGCTCATGACAGGAGTTAGTTCGATTCCTGGAGCCAACATAGTAGATGGAAAAAACCGCCTCTCATACTTGTCTTCTGATCTCCATGCCTTTGATCCTGAGTACACTCACATGTGCACACAACAAATAAAGTAAAAAAAGTAACTCTTCACATTGGTAACAAGCTTCACCCGTATCCTATTTTTTAAACATCTTCCTATTTTAGACAACAGAGAATTGGCATTTCTTCCCATTTTGAGTAAAGTCAAAACACTGGCTTTCATCTTTCTCTCTAAGTGATCAGTACTATCTTAAGTTGGTAAGTCACTCCATAGGTCTCATTCTCTTTAGCCAAGCTGGCTGGTGCAGGAAGGAAGGCTTCAATTCATGAAGAACTGAAGAGAAGGGAAAGAGAAAGTTGGATTCTGCCAAGAGAGAGAACTTGTGTGAAGAAAGCCAGGATGTGAGGACCCAAAATGCTGAGGCCTAAGGATGACTCTATGGCACTAAGCACTTCAGGGGAGGACCATACAATCACACATCATGGGTCAATCTAAGAAATGTTACCAAACCCCAAACAAGCAAAACACCTAGCCTGGTGTCACATAGCTTCAATTCCAACATGCCTGAAGCAGAGGCAGACATATCTCTGAGTTAAAGGCCAGCCTGGTCTACAGGGCAAGTTCTAGGACAACCAGGACATGTAAAGAAACCCTTTCTTGAAAACCAAAACTAAAAACAAAAATAAATAACAAAAAGGAAACATTATCATGAAGCGGATGATTTATAGCTGAATAAATGGCACTAAAGACAAGGCTGATCAAAGTGCAGAATGGTGGATCAAACAAACCTCCTTTTAGTAAGCTTAACGTAGAGGATAACAGTTGTGGCAGCATGGACTCTTGTGGCTATCATTTCTTGGGATTTATTTATTAAAGAATGTAAAGACCTCTTTGCAAAAGAGGCATGTGCTCTTAAATAGGAGAAAGGGGAAAGGTTGTAAAAATATTAGAAAACAATTTGAAATAAAAAAAACTATTAGAGGAAAATTCATTCTCTGCACTAAATTCACTTCACCCTTCAGTTTCTCCTTTTCTTTAATATGGACTCACATAAAGTTAGCTTTGTAGCACAAACCCATGGGGCATAGCAGTGTGATGCTTTAATCCCAACACTTGAGAGGCAGAGGTAGGTGAAACTTTGTAAGAATGAGGACAGCCATAGTGAGCTCCAGGACAGAGTTCCAGGACAGCCAGAGCTACTTAGTGAGACCCTGTCTCAGAGAGGGGGTTGGGGGTGGGGGTAGGGTGGGAAGAGGGAGAGGCCCAGCCAAGAATATAGATTAAGAAACTCAGCAAAAATGGGAACACATATGTGTTTCAGTTTTCAGGAAAAAAAAAACTGTGCCTCGCTGACTTTCTGCCTAAATTTCTTGGTTCTCTGTAATGAAAGGCACACAGTAATTTCTTCCTTCGTTGCGTTTTTTTTCCTTTTTTTTTTTTTTTCGTTTCTTTAACTGAATGTTTAGCACCCTACCCAAATCACTGCTATTCTAGGCTATGTAGGTCTACCCAACACCAGGCCACTCTTTACTAGCTATCACTAGGTAAATGGACCTTCACACTTACCTAACCATATCACCTAAACCATTGGGGTTTTCCAGTCTGTTAAAACCCGCTGTGGGCAGATTTTCATTTCCTTTGTTCTTTGTGTAGGCTTGTTTAAGGTTCAAGGTGTAGGTCTCTAAAGAGGATGGAGTGGAGACAGATGTTGAGTATGGAAGAGATTGGCAGTTTGAACAATAGTTTGGTCTAATGGCTTTGTTATGCTAACCCTGTTGGGCTTCTCCAAGTGCCTTCCTGATTTACATTATAGGACACTAAACTACTAACACAGAGTAGTGTGTTAAATTAAAAATAATACAAGAAATGCAAACCAGTGGGTCCGTTCTTTAAAATCATCCTCAGAGATACATTCTGCAAACTGCAGGCCTTCACAAATCCTGACACACTCAAGACCTTTAGAAAACCAGAAGCCGAGAATACCGATTAGGTTCTCAAGAGCGAAAACAGGTGATGTCATAGCACGCAGTGCGGTGTGGTCACCGCCAAGGCCGGTTGGGGAACTGCAGTTCCTGGGAGCTTAGCGCTCTGCGCCAGTAGCAGAAGCACTCTGTTAAGGGCTCCGCGACATCGGTGAGCACCCTGCGCCAATCAGGTGCTCGCTATGCACTGCCTTTGTTCTCACTGGGGAGCAGGCAGCGGGAGTCTGGTCTGCAGTCCGCGGTCTGTGTTTGGCTCCTCCGGGTACCTGGCTCCCTCATTCGCCTGGGTTGGGCATCTAGCCAGCCGGAGTTTTCTTCAGTGACTTATGCCTTCTGTCTCCAGAACATAGAAGCTAAGCCCTGACTCACCACTGTCCGTTTTAAGGGAGGAGGGTTCAGTCCAATCGTTTTAAATGGCAATTCGTAATCAAGACCTTCCACCCCAGGAAGGGATTGTGCTCTGCACATCTCTAACTAGAGGCCTCCCACAGGATATTAGTGTGTGTGTGTGTGTGTGTGTGTGTGTGTGTGTACCAACCTCTGACTTGTTCGTGATAAAAAGAATATTCTTTGGTGTGAGAATGATCGTCAGAGAGAGGGAAAAACCCCTAAACCAAAGATGTGTCTCCGGATCTCCAACTCCAATAGCTGTATAGACTTCAGACCTCTGTCTCTACAGCCGCAGGTAGTTGGTCTTTCTCACGAGAGTGTATAAAGAGCATAAAGTTCTTTGAGATCTTTGGGTGCAGAGTGCTGCTGCAAGACAACAGTCTTCCTCACAGCTATTCATAGATTTAGACCGACCGAGAAAAAGCCGAACCACGGCCCCGGTGTCCACTCAGCCCACTCCCGAGAGATCAGGAAATGTTTAGCTAGGTCTCAGATCCTCTAGCGAGCTCTAGCTTCCAGCTATTTAATCTCACTCTCTCCATTCTGCCCGGTCTTCCAGAGAGGCTTGGTTTGTCCTGAGGATAGCGCTAGAGTCCCTGATAATTTGCATACACCACACCCCCATTTCTCATTGGCATGCTGGAGTCCCTCCCACCCCACTACCTAACTAACCCATGGTCACTCTTCAGCATCGAGCCTCGGAGATAAACTTAACTTGCCCGGAGATTCGTGGTGCTCTCGCCTCCCGCGATTGGCCGACGCCACTCATTGGCTGCGGGCGCGGAGGGGGGCGTGACCGGCGCGACTGATTGGCGGGAGGGGGCGGTGCTCAGCGCGGCTGCCCTGAAGGCGGCGGGCCTCGGGGGCGGGGCTGCACTGAGGAGCTGAGACGGCCGCGGCTGCTCGTCCTGGCTGGCGGGGCGGGGGTCTGGCGATGGGGGCGGGAGGAACAACGGGCCGGTGAGTGCCGCGGCCACCGTCCCCGCCGAGCTCGCGCGGGCAGCCGCTGCGCCGTCGCTGCCGCCCGACCCCCTGAGAAGAGAACGTTGAAGCAGCCCTCCGCTAGCGGCCGCGGTGACAGCCCGGCTTCGGCGCGATGAACCGCGGTGGCAGCAGCGCGTCGGCCTCGGCCAACTACCTGCTCTGCACCAACTGCCGGAAAGTGCTGCGGAAGGTACGGCAAGGCCGCGTCCGGCCGCGGTGCGCTCCCCACGGTCGGGGTCTGGGCGGCGCTTGCCGAGGACGAGACGTGAAGGGTCCCCCCCCCCCGGCGGGGTCCCCGCGCCCGGCCCCTGGGACTGCCGCTGGGTCTGCCCCGAGGCTGAAGGGATGCTGGGATGCTGGGAGGAACCGGCTCGGCTGGGGATGGAGGCTGGCCTGAAATCACCGCAGCCAGTTTTCGTCTGCGGGAGCCTGGCTGCCTCTCCCGGGTGGCTGACTCTGGGGGGTGTTTTCTTTGACTGGGTCGCTTCTGCCAGGCCTATGGTGCCTTGGCACCGTCTCTTGACATTCACTTAGTTGGTCCCGAAAGGCACCATGAAGGCATCTTTAACTTTATGCCCATGGGAAACGCTGTTCGATCTTCAGGGCTTTCAGCTTGGATTGGTGGAGGTGGAGGCTGAAGACGACTTGGTTTCGACCTCCTTATTCCCCACTGCAGTGTGGATCGAGAAAATCCGACCCAGGATGGGCTTATTGCTTTCCGGAGTGACTGGTAGAAAGTTTACTCCAGTATTGTTTAGCTTACTTGGCTTAATCGCCCCATGGGGGATGGGGATTCAGGGAGAGAAAGGATGACAAAATGTCCCTGTAGACGCAGAAGAGTTTTTAATCTGATCTGAACAGCTTCCTTGACTAATATAATCTGTTTCTTTTCCACATTCTTATTTTTACATTGCATGAGATGAAATCATTAGGTGAAGTGTTTCTGTTTGTCCAGCACCAATGAATTAAAATTGCTGAGCTGTGCATATCTGAGAGCTAAGAAGAATATGGTGCTGTTATTGTCAGTTTCCCTATCTACGATCAATTTAGGATTGCTCTTTATGTACTAAGAAAAACAAGCAAGCACATAAATAAGCAAACTCAAATATTTGCGCTCTTTGTCCAAAAACTGTTTTTCTTCCTCTGTGGGTCAGGCCAAGTGCCAATCAAAGTTGTTTTTCAAGCCTCTTTTCCCTGCAGTGGAGCTGGTTCTCCCCCCACCCCCCTCCTTTCTCCTATTTTATTTGAGAGCGTCAGGAAAGCAAAGGAATTGCAGGTTTGAAGTTAATCAAACAATTAAATACGCCTTAAATTGTGTTTATTGGATATGTTTCTCTTAAAAAAGATTTTTATTAAATGTGCATGTTGAGTATGTGCAGTTATTTTTTCCCCATAAACTCTTGGATCAAATTACAGTTGATACTTGCTCAGCTCATTGTAGGGCAGCTTGTGAGAAATGTAATGGATCAGAAGCTCAGTTCAGCTCAGTTGAATGTTAACTCTTTCACGGCTGGACCAGATGGCATCTGAATAGAGGTTTTAAAAATTATTGTTTCATAATTTTTAAGCCAAAACTGTCTTTGTCAGGAAAAACAGTGCCAGTGAAGCCTGTTTAATTCAACTTACTCTCAGCTAATATGAAAGGAAATGTGTGTGTGTGGCATATATATATATATATATATGGTGTGTGTCCTAATGTGGGGTACAGTGCTATAATTGACTTATTTAAGTGATATAATTCTATTTCAATCAAAGCACATAACAATTTTTAATAAAAGAAATTTAAAGTTAATGGCAATTTGTTAGGCTAATAGGGTACTTGATAGAAATTAGGCTTTACACCTTTTTATTTTTTCTTTTAAAAGAGCTTTGATTATGAATCCATAACACTAGCACTAATGACATTTTTATGCTTTTTTTCCAGTTTTTTAAGAAACTAATATTTCTGTTTACCTGGGAAGACCATCTCACTGCTAGTTATAACTATAAGAAGAAGTATGTGCAAAGTGGGCATTCACATTTTTCTATTTTATAATTGTGCACACCTCTGCCAGTATCTAGTTTTTAGTAACTACAAGGTGTTTAATTTTGACTCATGTAGTGGCATGAAATGAACTTAGATGAGAAAAGAATTGTTTGTGCCAGTTAAGACATGATCTGGCAACATTTGAAGCTTTTTAAGATTGCCATTCTTTAACACTCTAGAAAGAAATCAGTATCTAGCATTAAAGGCTTCATCATCCTAAAAATGCTACATAAAGATTTACTGCTAACTAGGATGTTTTTATTTTTGATAGAGTATGACTAACTAAAGTTAATCTGCAACCCTCACAGGCTGGTTCTTTACATTTTCTTGTTTCCATATAATAGTGTACAGTAATAAACGAGCACATTGGTTTTAGTTGAGTGAGGATCCCAGTGGAGAATGAATGTCTCACACATCCATGCCAGTGACCCTCGGCTATTAGAACTGTCATCAATGAGGAGCAAAGGCCTTTCCCTTTATATAAGGCAGAAGGCCTTTTCCTGGCTGTGAGCAATATATGCAATATATGATGGCTTCTGAAGACACTTTAAAGGGAACTAAATTAACCTTCAAAGGAAAGAATTTGTTTTAACTCAGTGTCTGAACAGTGAATTGTGTATTGTATGAGAATCTTGTGTATTCTTAGAAGAGCCTTCACAGTTTTGGTCCAGTGTCTTGAAAAATAAAGAGAATTGTTAAAGTATTAAAAGTATCTGATTTGGTATCTGATTTGGCTCAGAAGAACAAAGAAGAAAGCAAGAACATCAGATCCATAGTTCTAAGTCTGTCTGCTCTGTACCCATTATACAGTTTAATGCACTTTCTAACAAGAGGAAATACTGTTTACTTTTGAGAACATAGCAAGACTTGAAATGTGAAGCATTTTACTTGAAGAAATTCCAGTGATGACCACAGGGATCTAATCTTTAATTTCAAATATGAAATGGCAGAGCACATTAAGGAAAGAAGGTAACTGTCGGCCTATTCACCTGCCATTTCAAAAGTAAGGTGGCTTATTGCATATACTTTGTGTGGTGAACTATTATTACTGTTAGATAAATATAATTAAATATAAATGAAAGGATTTAACGTTTTAATTTCTTTCTTTCTTTCTTTCCTTCTTTCTTTCTTTCTTTCTTTCTTTCTTTCTTTCTTTCTTTCTTTTTTTTCAAACAGGCTGTAGTTCAGGCTAGCCTTGAACTCTTCATTCTCCTCCTTTGGTCCTTCAAGTGCTGAGATTACACTTGTGCAGCACCATGCTGGGAAGTTTCAAATTTTTAGTATGATTCTAAGTAGTTCTAGTGATACATCTTGCTGTGGCTATAGTATTTTTTCACTTACACGATTTGATATTTTTATAGTCGAAGAAACTATCAAATAAAAGGGAAAATGTTAGTTTGACTCTATGAGCCTTGCTTATTATAATAGTTTACCCTATGGAATATACTTACTTACATGATGGACAGGTAGCCATCTTCTGCCTTGGTCAGTGAGCTGTCTTGTGTTTTATATTTTTGATTGTGAGGTGGCTTTAGAAGTAATATTCAATAATCTAGACAGATGGGGCAGTGAACATGTAACAGCAAACACAGAAGCAGCGCTCTTCAAACTGCTCTCGGGGATCCCTAAGATGCTTCAGGATATTAAAATGCTTTCATTGGATTAAGTATTTAAATATATGTTCAAATATTTTTAATCTGAAATATAGATATTTGAAAAATATGTCCATAATTTCAGCACACTGGACTCTGTCGTAACTCTCTTGTTACAAGATGGTGATGGTGATGATGTGGGCAGTGATGGCAGTGTGGTCATATCCGTTAGAGCTTTTTAATCACCTTATTGACTAGGAAGAGTGTCATTGTTTGGGAAGGCACTGGTCTTTATAAAAACATTCTTTCCTATACATAGCTACTCATATCATGTATCTGTTTCTGGGACCACAAGCGTGGTAATATAAATGGCTATTACTTTGTAACAAAATACTTATTAAAATTGTTGCATTGCATATTTAAATGCTTCATAGTTAAATGTAAGGTTTAATTTGTGAAGTGGCTTCTGCTACTTCTCGTAATTTATAAGATGTTTACAGTTCAATCTTTGGCACTGGTCTTTCAGTTTGGGGTAAGTTAGCTAACTTCCTTAAGACCTAGGTTTTTCCTGTAGACTACACTTGGTTTCTACCTGTCTTGTGGTGGCTTTTGTGGCTTAGAGAGAGTGTATGTAAGCACTATACGAACCCTCAAATGTCACTCTACAAGAATGGAAAGCTCAGGCCATGTGTTTTCCTTTGTCCTTTGTGTGTTAGAGGATTATAGCCAGTAATATACACTGAGTAATTTGACTAGTTGTCATTTCTCATAGGAATTTTAGTTATGGCTAGTAAGAGAGTGGTCATGGTAGTGTTGTGATTGAGAATAACCCTTGTGCATGTTTTTGGATTTCACATGTCCATTTGTATCTGCCTGTCATCACATACAGCCTCCTTTAAAGAGTAATGTGATCCAGCACTTTTGGGTTTTTAGATAAGTTAATAAATTGCCTTTGACAAGGAAAATTGGGATTTGGTTTGAGAAGATCATGTGATACAGGTGATGTGCCCAGTAAAAGAGAAGATCTAGGAGAAAGCATGGGCATGTAGTTACTCAGTTTAGGAGAGGATTATGAAGTCTCCTAATCTTTCCATCTGACTGTCCCAGTTTTTCTTCTGAAGATAGTGACCTTGCTAGTTTAGAGTGCCTTTACATCATCCCAGGTTTCTCTGAAAACTGAAGTTTAGGTGACAGAGTCTATGCCATCCAACTAATAAGAAGCACTCTTAGGCTGGAACTCTGTCTCTGTGATGGACTTGTCTCCTGCAGTGCTGAGGCTGCCAGGGACTATCTCCATCCATACTCGGCTTCTGTGGTGTACCCTAAGGACACCTAGAACTGGGATTAAGAAAGTCAGCTTTTGACTGGGTTGCGAAAGCTAAAGGAGAAAGCATGCCAGGGAGTCAGCTGCTCCTCTCAACTCTTGGATGCTGGTAGGCCCATCACCCCTTACTCTGGATCTTGGACTCTGGACTATGTCTAGGACTCAGAGGTGCTAGAACCTGAAAATTGCTATTTTCCCATTTTGCTGTGTATAGAAGTAGTGTAGGTGTAATTGTGCTGACCCGTTAG